AGAATGTGCCCTGAAGTCCTTAAAGGAATGGAGAAACTGGAGACCATTGAAAGGATCTTTTGCTGGGAAAGGATACACTACTGAGGAGAATCTGGAGGAGGTCAGAGCCCTGAGCCTTCACCCTTTCTTCCCCAGCCCACCTCAGGGCTCCCACCTCCCAGTGGCTCCCAGCTACACGTAGGTGATTTCTAGGGTATCCAGTTGTGTTCACAATATGAATTCTCCTCACAATATTATTCCTAGTGGGTGACTTGAGAAATGGGTAAAATAAAAGATAGCATATGTGTAATTTGTGGTTAAATGAATAGAATGTTCAGATAACATTGTTTGTTTTCAATTACAGTAATATCACACAGTTGGCCAACTTGAGAGACACAGATGGGTGGTTATCTTCATTTTTCTAACTATTTTCTAAAGAGTTAGGACATGTCCATAGCAGGGCGTTTATAAAGTAAGATTCTACTCTCCTGTTCTCTAAGTAAAGCATTACACTTTTTGTGAGAAAGGCGGGTTATCTATATCTTCTAAAATGCCTTAATGAATGTGAAAAGATATGGTTAGGTTACAGAGTATGGCAACATTTGCTTTTGGCACCATTATCTGGGGATTTTTGTGCTTTTCTTCCTCCTTTGCCTTATCTCTTTTCCCTTTTCACAGTTCACACTTACACAAACTGTGTCATTCATTGTAATGATAAAGCAAGTACTGAGTGTTTAGCTTTCATTCTTGCCCTGGGATGTTAAAACTGACAGCTTAGCACCTCTATTACTTTTTATCGGTGAGTCATTGCCCTTGCCAACACTCAAGATAAGAAAGTCTCACACTTGCCAGAGGGAGAAAAAAAAAAAAAAAACAGGAAAACTGAAAAGAGAACTGGGGCTGGGTTACACTAACCACAAAATGGGTGATAGGAGGTTGTTTTAAAAATCAATGGGAATTGCCATTCACCAGGACAAAGTTATTAATGAGAAACTGTCTGGTGTGATTTAGGTCATTTCCAATAGAGTCAATTTTCAACTACCCAGTTAACCAGTGTAAACCTCTGAAGGAGTACAGAAATCCAGCACTTGATCTCATTTTAATTCAAATGTTAAAAGACCTCCACTCAAAATGAATCTGGCTCCTTCACACTAAATCCTTATTTATGAGAGATTAGCCACAAGAACAGAGAATCAACATTTGATACTAATAGATTTGTGTGGGTGTGTATGTGTGTACACAGATAAACTACCTCATAAGAAGATCAGAGAATTCAATGACACATTAAAACTGTTCCTGGACCACTGTTATTCACTGACAAATCTGAGGAGATTAAAAGATTTTTATGTTCTTTTTCCTCCTCTATTACAGACCATCATTTCTGGGACTCTGCCTCCATTCCTACTGTCTACATACATACAAAAGAAGCTGCACAGGGGTGTGAGGAACCTCACTCATTCAGTAGCCACTCCATGGAAGTTCTGTCCTATGGTTCATAAAGGGTTTGAGAAGTCTGGGAAAATAGTAAAGTGATTTAAAGTTCCCATGTAGAACTAGTTCCTCTTTCTATTGACTGAATGGTTGAGGTCATATTGAGATGGAGAATAGCCATATTTAATGTGTGCTAAAACCATTTCATGTCTTCATAGTTTGCTCCCTCAATGACCATGTGAAGCTCTGAGCAAGCATAAGCCACATCCACAAAACATCCTCTGCTGATTGATTTCCACTTACAATTACTTTGAAGTGAAATAAGAATTTCGAGATGCTTGCAAAGCAATCTGTGTGAAGAAGTCTCCTAGTCTATAATTTCTCCCCAGTTATTCAACTGTCTTGCCCATATCTAATCTGATAGCATTGTTTTAGTAATTACCTTTTAAGAAGTTTTCCCAAGTTTCACATTCATCATTAGCTTTCATTAAGCTATCAAATTCATTATTCATTACAAGGAATAAAGCTACTTTCTGGTTGCACTCGGATTCCTTTGGTTAACATAATATTTAATTCATTTGTGTAATTATAGATATAAACAAGCCTGGAACTACTATGGATCAACATCCTATTAGAAGGAGCAAACATGTGAAGGATGTACTGGGGAGGGGCTGATAGCCTCTAGATTTCAACTACTTGTAGGTATTAGTCAATAAATCTTACAGAAGGAATAGAGAGTGACAGCTAATCCAGTGAACTCGTAATGGAAATCAAATTTTTAAATTTAAATTTTTTATTGTATTCGCAACTTACAGATGGAGAGACTGAGGTACTGAAATTTTAAGTAACTTAATTAACATCACAAATCTGCTAAAATCCTTAAAGGATATATAGGAAACATGATTATATGGAAATTCTAAGCATTATCTAGGAAGTAGCAGAGGAAAATGGCCAATTACATTCCAGTGAACAGTGGATGTGCTGAAAGTGTGAGGGATAGTTAAAAGGGGATTCAAGGAAGCCTTCTTCAAAAAGAGGAATGCTTAAGTTGAAGCGCAAACCAACCAGACAGAAGAGAGACAGAGGCGCATGGGGATGAAAGAGAGCCAAAGGCAATGAGGGCAGCATGGGAAAAGAATTGCCAGTAGTTCCTAGAATAAAAGGAACATGATTAAATAAAATGAATTAAAGAGGCGAGTAGAAGCCCAATACAAAGACTATGTTATGCTAGAGAATTTAAACTTTGCTCTGAGAATAGTAGGAATTAGGCTTTTGAGTCACAGGCTCAGATTTGAGCTTTTGGCTTATCACGTTGAGTGCACTATGGAGAAAGGACTGCAATGCCAGCTAGGAAGGAGGCTGTAGCAGTAATCCAACCAAGAGCTGATGGTGGTCTGAGTTTGCATTGCATCTATGGAGACGGAGAGGAGATATATATTTAGTTGCTAGTTTCATTAGGACTTGCTAATTGATTGAATGTAGAGGTGATGGTGACAATGAGGAAATATTAAGGGTGAATGAAGTTTCTGGAGTAGTTGACATCCGGATAGAGGGAGGTATCATTCCTCAAAATAAGAAACTCACGAGGAAAAGGAGTAAGGCTCAGGGATGAGGAAATTTAATTCTAGACATGTTATATTTGAATATCCAGTTAGAGAGTGGTTGAATATATAAGTCTAGAGCTTAGGGGAAAGATGTGGGCTAGAAATATGGATATGGTCAATATCAGCACAGAGGTGTGAACAAAATTCACAGAAAATGAAATAAAGGAAGTGGAAAATGGGGAAAGAAACTGAGCCAAACGTCCTCAAAATGGTAGCCCATTTCTGACTATCTCTGTCATATGGGTGATATGTCAATTAGTAAGTCACCACACTTATACATAAAGGCATTTACTTTTTAAAAACTTCAATGCACTAAGCTTGACTTTCCTTACATGAAACAGATGGAGAAGACTGAGCTGGAAATTCCATAGCATGACTGTGGTATTTCTTGACCACTCCAAGTAGGCAGAATGATCATTCAAAACCAAGGTGCCATCATTATAAATATTTCCTAGTTGTACATCATCAAAAAAAAAAAAAGTGGTGGAGTTAACACCAATGGTAGCTTTTACAGGTGATTTGCTACAGTGGAAATTAAAAAGCACTGGAATTGGAGTTAAAGTCTCCACTCTACAAAATATCTCCACTCCTCAATAATGAACAGGTTTAAACAGCCCCTAAGGAATGCTTTGGCAGGGGGAAAAAAAAAAAGAAAGGAATGCTTTGGCAGACAGCATAAGAAACAATCACTGCAGAAGTTGAATTTTAAAATAAGCTTCCTCTTTTTACCACAACAGGTTAGTTACTTTCTCTGGGTATATATATATCCTCACTTAGAGGTGCACGGTATTCACAGATGAACTCTGGGGTTTAATCACCTATAAGAGTTAAGTTAGAACACAGACTTCACTGGGGAAGTCCCATATGCCTGAATCCACTCCCCACGCCGACCCCACGCAGGTAGACAAGTACTTCTAGCCTGGTAGCGTTCTCAATCAGAATTTGTCATCACTCAAAGCCCAGGTAGACCACGGTGCCTATGTTAATCTTTTCCTTAAAGGCCCTACTTTTCATTTTGCCTTGAAATAACTGTGACTATTTTTATTATTTCTAGCTATTGCATACACTCTATGATTGCCATCACAACTTATTAGAAGGTAATTTCCCATAATTTGCCCCCAGCTCTATCCAGTGCACTAAAGCTGGCTATTTGTAACGCAATATACCATTTCCAAAAACTTTTACATGTTACTGTTTTTATTTTTTGAGCCGATATGTACGGGAAAAATCGACCAATACTAATGTTAGAACAACTGTATTTTCACTGAAACCACTGTTTCATCTGTGGATGGTAGGATAATTTCTAATTTTTTAAAAAAATTTGGAATTTAAAGTTTTCCTGATAACTGAGCTAACTTTACTCCCCTCACGTTTGCCAAAATCCCTCCAACTCTGAAAGCTGGCCTAATAGTTGTTCAGTTGTTTGCACACTCCCTTTTTCTCTTCAACTCCATTTGATATATGTTTCCCAAGACGTAGTGGAGACTGCTGGCCAGAGAGGCTGGAAAATATAACTCCAAATTTCCTACAGTCTCAGCTCCACTTTCTCCCGCGCTCCCGCCGGGGTCTGGAACCCTGTTGTTGTCACGTGGACTCGGGGCGACGGGGCCCGGCCGGCCAATGGACGCGCGGCAGCCCCGCAAGCCCCACCTCCCGACTCCACCGCGCCGGGACTGTGCGCACTAACGCAGGGAGGAGGCGAAAAAGTTTCTTTGCGGGCGAGAGGGACTTCGGTGCGCCGACGCCACTCGGGCTGCAGGGCAGCCGCAGCTGGCCGTCCTCTCTGGTTTCCCTCTCGCTGCTCCGGGGCATGAAAGGGCTTAGCTGCTGGGCGTAAAAGAAAGGAGTTTGGCGGCGACCGCAAGAAAAGGGCGCCTGCACGCGGCTCCAAGCGCGGGCGGCCACTCGCGGCTGCAAGTTTGTGCCGGGCCGCCAGCGCGCGCCGGCTGCGGAGCGCCGGGCAGAGCGAGAGGCCGCAAGAGCGCGATGGGCGCACCGAGGCTCTGCGCGCCGTCGGTGGCACTGGGACTGCTGCTGGGTGCGGTGCTGGGACGCCTGGGCCCGGCCGAGGGCAGCGGTCGCGGCGGCCCGGGGGCGCTGGGGCAGCCTTCCGGGGTCGCCGCCGAGCGCCTGTGTCCCGCTCCCTGCCGCTGCCTCGGGGACCTCCTGGACTGCAGCCGCCAGCGGCTGGCGCGCCTTCCCGAGTCGCTCCCACCCTGGGTCGCTCGCCTGTAAGTATTCTCCTTGAGGGCAGAGGGGGGAGCCGCTCGAGATTCGCGAGGGGCCGGGGCGCTGGGCGCGCGGTTGCCTTTTCTGGGGCAGTTACTCCTGACCCAGGCCTCAAACGGCGCTCGGTGGAGATGGAAAAGGAGCCGTCGAGGCCTCAGTCGCCCTACCCTAGTGCCTAGCGGGCCGCGCAGTGGGCCCTGGGCTTGCCCCTCGCTGGCCGCAGGTGGGCGAGGGAAGGGAGCCACTGACAACTCGGAGGAGTAGAGTCAACGTCCTGAGCCCAGAGCCTGCCAAGTGGATTCAAATGCGCGCCCCTGCGAGGGCGGGACAGGAGAGGTGGCAATCTGCGGGTTACAAGAGTTCGCAGTTCTCCCAGAGTGTAAGGTCCTGTGGCTCAACTACAGTTTCTAACTGGTTCAGGCCCCCTTTCCTGTTCCCAACCAGTAATTGAATGAGCTCCTTTCGTTTGAGAAGGCTCCTCAACAAAGGTCCGTCACTGTCCAAGCTATAGTAGACATCGTTTTGTTGTTCTCTCCCCCGTGCTTAATGTCGCTATAGGAAGTTCCGTAAAGCCTCAACCACACTGTAACACATCCTCGTTCCAGTAAGAAGTTGGCGAAATTAATCAGTAGGTGTGGAAGGAAAGGAGCTAGAGGTTTCAGAACGAAGGGCGTGATTTCTGTAGCTTCTCAGCAGTTTAGGAGGACTGGGCGCTGTTATGCAAGTTTTTGGATGCTAGCTGTGAAGTCTGAAAACCTGAATCACTGCCAACTGCGTGGAAGAACAAGGAAGAAAATGTAGTTTAGTTAGAAAGGCTGATTCTTTCCAAACGTCGTCTCCTTATTCTCTCCCAGCCCTAGTTTTGTTAAAATTGGCGGACTATTGTAAAATGTAAACAATTACAACTTGTGTTTCTTTAGAAAAAAAAAGTTATCTTGTCTAAAAGAAATTAAAGTGAAGTCCATCCTTAACCCTTAGATTTGGGCCTAGCAGAATTGCAATGGAAATTCTACATTCTTAAAACAATTCTACTAGACTATCCTAACATCCTGCTAATAGTAGTAGGAAGTTTGGTGCCATAGTTAAAGAAATTGTGTTTTTAAATCATTGTGCTACTCAAAATCTTTGTGAATTATGGGATGGTAAGCCATCAAAATCATATTCTTTGTGTTAATAAACCTTAGTTTAATAAAAAAAAGTGGAATTAGAGTTTTAGATTTTCTAATCTCTTATCATGGGATGTCTTGTTTAGTAGTTTTTTGGTTTTGTTTTATAATTGAAGGAGATAAGGGCTTTAACCTGAAGCAGGAAGACTTTCAATTAGTTGTGGCTAATTCTGTTCAATTGCCTCTTGTGGAGGTCATGCTGCCTTATTCATGAAATGTGAATGGCTCTATTGACAACATATGGAACTGAACATTTGAATGACTGGAGGTGAACATGTGTGAATAATAGAGAGATGAGAAAAAGAAAATGAATAGCTCTTCCTGGGGTGTGTTTAGAAATGCTTGAATGATTCACCAAATTTAGCTTATATTAGTAGTTTCTCATTGTCAAGTAGCCTATTAGGTCATGCCAGTGTACAATATATATTTTTTGTGTGAATTTGGATGTCTTTAAAAAAACAACTATTGGTATTGATTAAAAGTTAAGTTAAACCGAAAGGGTTTTGATACCTATTTAAATATTGTCTTAAAAGTAGCTGACCTAATTAGGATTTTGTTTTGCAGATAATTTGGTGGCACACTAAAAACAAATTACAGTTTATTTGGTTAGCACAATCTTTAATTACATTTCCGCCAGCAGTAAATTGTCTCAATACAAGTCCACATTCCTTAAATATATGTGAAAATAAGTTCCACTTGTATAAATAAGCACTAGGTCTGTTGTCAGAAGCCCCACTGTGATCACTCATTGGACAGCTCTGTCATTCTTGTACTTGTGTGACTTTTAACCAACTTTGTAGTTGTCACCAAACCATGTGGTCTAAATTCTTTATTGTAAATGTTTCTTTTGTTTGTGCCTAAAGCTCTAGAGGTCTCCTCTCTCCACCTTTGAAAGCAGAAAAACACGTGGAATTGGGCTTTTAATTCTCTGTTACTCGGTGTTTGGAACAAGAGGCATAAGATAGCTGTTTCTTAAATTTTACATAATTATAAAAGTGTTTAGGTAGACTGTTTCAGAGTTCAGAAATAAGTAGAAAAATACATATTGTTCTTTCCCATATCCTAACTTTTTCTTGGGTAATTAAGATAGTAAACATTTGCCTTAGGGCTAATTTATGAGAGCACCATTTAAGCAAACTTTATCTTTTGTGTCATTTGTTGAATTTGCAAATTAAAAAAAAAATTTCTCTACATGTGTATTTTTTTCACTTTTAGTTGTAATTTATTGCCTTAATCTCACATGTGAAAAATTGAATAGTTTGAGCTGTAAAATAATAATGTAGTTCTCTTTTCAAAAAGTGACTTGTAATACTTTGATGAAAGTGGCTTTTAAAACAGTAACTATTTGAAGCTTTGCTTACAACTGCCGTTAAAGGCAGACTTGAGTTTACATCTAGAGTTTGTGCTTACAAAGAGTTCTGAACCCAAAGAGGAGTTGCTTGTTGGAATATGTTACTTAGCCAAAAGAGGGAAAAGTTGCTCAATTGCCAGTGAGAGCTTAATGTATTAAAACTTCACTGGAATTTCAGAATTATTTATCTTATCACGTAGAAATGTTTGCATGAGCTGGGCTGAGGCGAAAGTCCGAAAGGTACTTTCTGCTGCTGTGCCTTCTTTAGCGTTCTCCTGTTATAAATCGTCTGGTCGGTACCAGAATTGGGGCTGGGGTGGGGGGTCATGGTCCTTACGGTTTTCACAGCTGTTTTTCTATATTTTCCAGACTAAAACTTGAACATAGCAGGCTGATTTATGAGTCACTTTGGATCAGTGTCTTAAAACAGCTACAGCCTGGCTTTTTGTTTTTCAGCTTTCCAGATTTCTGCTGAATTAGCAGCTCTGCAGGCCCCAGTGGGATTGATTAAGGAGCTGTGCTGGATTTGCATTTTAAAATTTGACTTGGAAGTCAGATTTCCAAATGCGAAAAGGAGCAAAATGGTGGCTGGAACTAAATGTTATAAATTAATTATTTTCACATATATTTATTCACTTGCTAATGTGCAGGAGGAGAGACTTTTTTTTCTACCTTGTGGAGTTTGATTTTCTAGCATTTGGCCAGCTGAGTTCTAGGTAAATCGTTAACACCTCCCCGCCTTACCACTTATCCCATTTATTAACCTCACTACACAAAGTTTTTTGGAAAGGTTTCCTGGGGAAGATGTTCATTAATGGAACTCTGAAAATGAAGAATCTGCTTTTCTTACTGAACGTTCTCATGGGTTTGAGAAAATACCGACATTGTACGACTTGTATTTGTTTTTAATGTGGTCTAGCCATAAAAACAATATAGGGAAGATTTAGGAAAATGTGACATCCTTTAACTGGAAAGTAATCATTTCTGAAACATAAACTGTATTAAATCTAAATTTAGACACATTAAAAGTTTCATGGCTTTAAGTATTTAGCAGTAAAAGTCACTTAAGAGGTGATTTTTTTTTCTCCTACATATAATGTGGTTTTAATAGTACACAAAACTCAGGAATGGAAGTGTGTTGCAATAACTAAAATATTTAAGGTTGCCAGCTCCCACTTCTGGATCAGAAATGAGTGGTCTCCAGCACGTGCACATTTCTCGGAAGGCAGTTTCTCATTTTAAAAGTCTTTTGTTGGAGATCTCATCCCATTACTGGTTGGAAAAAAAGTTAAACACTCTCTTTTCTCATAGGATTGCCCTATGAAATAATCCTCAAAATGAAGTGTGGTTTTCGTTTTTTTCTAATTAAAAAGAAAACCACCTGTATTAAATGTAAATGCCAGATCGGTTCCCCTTTTCCCTTTAAACATTGAAACAATAGGGGATGCAGTTTTCTGCTTGTTCAATGTTCTTTAGTTAAGTGGATCCAAATGAGACTTTCTGTTGATTCAGGCAACCTCCCAGGTGAAGGACTCTTTTCGCTGGTTGTTTTTGAAACCCTGTGGGAAATCTGTGACTGTCTGTGGTGCTAAAAGCACACAGGTTTTGTTTGAATCCTAACATGAGCTGTTGGGCTCACGGGTTCCTTGATGAACTCCAGACGGACGTGAGCTGGGCTGTGAGGGAAAGTGTCTGGCTCCAGCGTGGTGAGCATGCACAGCGGTGGTTGTAATTGCAGGATTTTTATAGTTTAAAGACTGTGCCAGATTTTTTTCATGTTATAACTCTACCAGAACAAATCTACTCATGTCTGTTACTGTCTGGTAGGTCTTTAGGCAAACATGTTTCAAATAAAACCTTTGCAGATTTTTTTTTTTTTAGGTGAAATAGAGAAATCCAGGTTTATTCTCAAAACAAGCATGCAAAGATTGAAAGGATCCCTGATTTCTAATTGTTAACTTCAGAGACTAGATGAAGTTACACTGTTTCTCTGGGTGTTATTTTTCTGCCTTTCATTTTTGGTTCATGCTTTGTGCCAATCCAGTTTGGTTCTCTAAAACGCTGGTTAGTTAAAAGCCTTCATTTTTAAACACTGAGAGAATTCATTTGGTAAGCGTTGGTGAACCTCTTTGGCGGGGAGAGCTTTCAGCCGTACTGTTTGTAAGTCTGTTTTTCAGTAGCTGTTCTAGCCATTTCACTTTCAATTCACCACATGGCAGGCACACACTTAGTGTGTCCATGCAGAAAGAAATGTAAGCAAATATTTACCAGGCTTTCTTTAATATTGTGGAGTCTTAAATGCCAAGATGATGGCCTAGTCTAGGATATTGTATATGTAGGAGTTTTGTTTTGCTTTTTTTTTTAAATAACGATGTCTTAGGGAAATTGTTAATAAGTTAGATGAAGTCTCTAAGAAGCAGATTTATTTAATGATTGCAAAGAAATCTGATCATAGGTTCCTAGATAGCCTACTTTGTAGGTGGTTTATGTGGTTTAAATTATACATTATATTATCTGATACTCAGATTTGGAGAATGCAGGAAAGCAGAATTGTTGATTTTGACTCTCTCAACACATACACACACCATGATACCTTAAGTAATTTGGTGCCTGAACCCAGAGAAACAAATATGTGTGAAGAGCAATTTCTATTTTGTTTGCCTGTAATAAGAACACTGATGCTTAATTTTATGATAATAAAAAGGTTTCTTTAGACGTTAGAGTTTCAGCAGCCTTCCTAGTTAGCCACTTTTCATAGGACATGACTTCATCATATCAGGTTGGAAGTGAGGAGATGGTAGGAGATGGGAAGGGTGAAGCAAAACAGCCAGTTCACAAGAGATCTGTGCACCCTGTGCCGAAACACATCTCCTGGAAATCTGTGGGCTTAAAGCCCTTGAATCTGCCAGTTTCCTGAACTAATTTTGTCCTCAGAATTTGTATTTTTGATTTTGGCAGTTTCGTTGCCATCTAGTTTGGGGATAGGATGAACCAATTATTTCTTACATTGTCACTAGTGTCGTAGAGGAATTTCATAAACCCATTCTGTCTTGCACATCATTAAGCACTATTAGTGATTTTTGGAAACTACTTACAACTTGACTTTTGTTTTCTTGTAGGGACTTGAGTCACAACAGATTGTCTTTCATCAAGGCAAATTCCATGAGCCACCTTCAAAACCTTCGAGAAGTGTGAGTTTTACTTTCTATTTGAGATTTGAATAAAATATGCTATTTAACTGTAAAGAACATTTGGATCACAATAAATTATTTAAAAACTTGGGAGGTATTTTTAAGTAACTTTATAAAGTTTTCACCTCTGTGATTTACAGATGACCTAATCAGCCTTTTTCTGTGTTTTTGTTTTTGTTTTTGTTTTTTGGCACTTAAAGGAAACTGAACAACAATGAATTGGAGACCATTCCAAATCTAGGACCAGTCTCAGCAAATATTACACTTCTGTCCTTGTAAGTGAATGTTAGCAGGATTTTGCATGTATGTTTGCAGGGACCATGGGTAGCAGTTCCATATGGGCTAGAGTAAAGGTCTTACAAGCAAAAATATGAATACTTCCTTCTGTAGATAATGGAGAAGCGTTTTTTAAATTGGTTGACTTGTTTCCCAGCCTCTTTCTTTCCTAAATTTTAAGTAGCGTTGTAACAACAAACTTTCCATGTTGCTGTCATTGCTGACCTGGTATCCCAGGTTCAGAGACACTGCCTTCACTTCATAGAGACATGTGTTTGATTATGTCCTGCAGACTAGGACTAATTCTGCTTATTACTCAGTGGCTGGCATGGGATCTGTGGGTTAGGTATTACACAGTTCCTAGTGGAGGGTGATCGGGGCTGTTTTGTGAGAGAAAGTGGGAGTTGGTAATAAGGCACTGGAGTATTCTCTTTTAAGTGTGGCACCTGTAATAAAAACCGAGGCTCAGAAACATCAAAAATATCAACTTTATACAGTTAAAATTAGGTATGTGATTGAAGTTATAAGTACCATTGCATGTTGTTTTGCAAAGATGAGTTTTCAAATAAAATTAAAATTCTGCTAAATTTTCTGTATTTTTAGGACAGATAACATGTTTAGTGTCACACATTGAAGATGTTTTGGAATAATTTTGACTTTCGGCACTTAAGGGTAGCATTTAGAATGTGCAGTATTTGATTTCTAAAATTTAAGTAGCTTGCCACCTTAATCTTGAATAATTTAAAAATATATCTAAGCCACCGAGGTTAAAATGTTTTCCTTCCTTAAACAAGAAAAGCCCACCATTGTTGGTTCTTCTGGGAAAGGTGTCGTGGGGGTTAAAATTATATAGTAAATTTCAGGAAAGCTGTTCAATTAATTAAAGTGATCACTACCCAATTGCTTACATCTGGTGATTTATAGAGGGTGGTTTTTACGGAGGGCCCAGGTCACCTAAGTCATGGGTGCAGCCGCTGTGTCTGCTTTCCTCTGTTTGAATAAGAACTAAGTGACATTTGATACTGATGTGGTTTTTCCAAAGATCAGACACAGAAAGGAATGAAAGAAAAAGGAGTTGGTATTTGACAAATAAACACTAAATTTAAAAAACATTTTTATGCTAGCATTAATATCTGTTTTGTCTTTCACATTTGCTTAAGAATTTAGAGTCTAAGTGGAGTACTGGTTTTGGTATCTTAAACAGCTTTAGCTATTCTCATTTGACCAGTGGGGCCTTTCTAAATCCCAGGGAATGCTGCTTCCCCCTGCTGTTCTTGCCCTAAGTATTATTGGCAGATTCTGTCAGCATGTTCAAGAGAGTCTTGAGTTGAGGGGTCATTGCGTGCTTCATGGCTGAGAGGGTCCACAGTGGAGTTTTGGAATCTGGGTGGGGTGGAGCAAACAGTCTTCCCCTTGGCTTGGTATAGAGTTGAAATCCTAAGAACTTGTAAGGAAATTAGAAACTTCCATTGGAAATAAATAACCTAGTGATTTTACACTTCCAAGCTTTCGTATATAATTAGAAAACCGAAATGCAGTCTGGAAAGATGGAAACCTTCAAAATTTGAACCGTTCTCCCTATTTTCATTTGTTTCACTTTAGTGAGTGCTGAGTAATCTTTACTGACCTTGAATAATCTCACTTTTCTTTCTCCTTAATCTGTTGCATTGCGTCTGACCAGGGATTATTTTGTTCATTTTATGTAATGGTAGATCCTATTTATTACCTAGACTGCATAGCATCTGCAGAGGGTTATTTATGTGATGGGACTGCTCATTCAATATGGGTAGTGAAAAATTGTCTTCATACCTATGAAATATGTTGAAAATGTATTTCTCTGGCTGTTTTCTTCTACAAATGTGTTTTCTCCTGTAGGCCTCTTTGGATATTGCAATACACAGTCATTGTTTCTAAAGCACCATTAATTTCTGTCTTGTGTTATATAGGGTAGAACATTTTCTTTTATATAGAAGCACTTGAACATCAGAGCTAAAAATCAGTACTTATATTTCTGAAATTTCAAAAGAAATCGTTAAACTACATACCATGGCTTAGGTTAGAAAATTGCTATGGCACCACGGTTAAACACCATGTCTTTCCAAGCAGCTCTCGGGACTGTTTGACTTTTATTTGATCAAGGGTTTTTTGTTTAGTTTTGTTTTTCACATTTCGTGGAGGAGACAGATTTTTGGGGTCATTTGCACAAGTTAAATCATTTGAAAATATGTTAAAGGAAAATCAGTTGGAGTCTTAAGCAAAAGATTTAATGTTGGTGCTCCATCCCGTTGCTGGTCTGTGCTGTGGGGACCCTTCCCAGCTGGAGGCAGGGACATTCACCTGGTGAGACCTTCTTCTTTGCTCATCTTCAGGAGCATATGACACCCCATATCCAGAGAAGAACATCTGATAATGTGCAGACCATTTCTGATAATGTCAGGGAAGCCTGATAAAATACCAGGGTCTTGGGATGGTGGTTGAATGAGCATTGAACTCCCCCATTAACATAAGTAAGTTGATTTTATCAGATGTGGTAGTTTTGGCTTCCTGTGAGGTGGCATGAACCACGCAAGCATTGGACAGTTTTGAAAACTGTGACTTGAGTTAGGAGAGGTTTGACTCCACGAGTCCTATAACATTATTGTTGAACAAGAGAGTTCTCACTGTTCATTAAAGAAAGCTGGTTAGGGTCTTCGTCTTGACATTGATGGTTTATATAATATTGCCCAACATGTAAGTACTTGCCTGTAAGTTAGAATTGAAAGGATTTAGGTCCCCGAATGTCAAAGGAGTACCCAGATTACTAGTTAAAAAATGTAGATCTCCTGACCCTATCCCTAGAGATTCTGAATTAATGGGATCAGGTGGGACCCAGGAATATCTATTTTAACACATCTACCTTACCGGTTCTGATTAGATATTGCATAAATATTTCTGGAACTACTGATAGACTCCAGTTTGTTATAATCAAATAAGCCTTTTCTCATTATTTCTTATCTCAACGGTAGAGCATTTCTCCCACATCCATCATGTTCTTCATCGTCTCTAATTTTTCTGGAAATGGCAATGTCATCTTCCAGAGTGGTTATTATAAATATTGATCACTTTGCTGGAGCGACCCCAAAATGTGTGCTCTACCAATGGACAGCCAGTGAAGAGATTTAAAGCTGAGTGAGGTGATCAGTTTTGCTATTTGACAGTGTCATTCTGGCTTTAGTGTGGAGGATGTCCTAGCGGTGCCCGAGGGTGGTGTAGAGAGGGCAGATGACTGTGGTTGGTGGGGTGGGGGACCACTACAGGAGCCCAGAGTGAACAGCATTGTGTCACAGCAGTGGAACAGTGATTAAAGCAAAGCTCAAGTTGGATGGCTTGGAATTATTTGCTGGGTCTTCCCTTTGCTAGGTTTGAGATCTTGGGCAAGTTACTGTCTGTGTTTCTTCATCTACAAAATGAGACAACGTAACAGTGTCCACCTCATAGGTTGTTGTGAGGATTTGGAAAGAGAATGCAGATAAAACCATCTGGCATATGCTGAGTGCTCAGTGACTATGAGCTGTGATCATGATGATGATGATCACACACTCAAGTGAAAATCATTGAATAAATGAGCAGTGCCAGGCTCTGTTTTAAGGGCTGGGGACACTGCAGTAAATAAAGCAGACAACTCACTCTTATGAAGTTTCCATTCTAGTGAGGAGTAAAAGAACAATAAGTAACAAATTTTTTTAAAAAGATGATTTCAGGTTCTTGATAAATGTTGTCAAGGAAAAGCGAGGAGGACTAGAAGAGCCCTGGCAGTTGCCCTTTAATGTGGTCCAGGAAGGCTTCTGAGTATTTACCAAATCCTACTATGTGCTGGGCACTGGTCTAAGGTTGAGATTCAGCAGTGAACAGAGACGAAATCCCTGCCCTCACAGAGCTGCCTTCTCATGGAAGGAGAAAGACAAAAAGTCAAATAAATAAGAGATGGGGTCAGAAGGTGGTGAGTGCTAGGGTGGAAAAAGCAGAGAGGAGGCAGAGGAGTGTGTGGCAGAATGGGGTTTGACAGTTTTAAATGGGGATGCAGGGAGGGGCTTGCTAGGAAGGTGACACTTGAATCAGGGAAGGGGGAGGGAAGGGTCATGTGCAGCATCTTGGGGGTGAAGGTCATCTCCTTAAGCCTCCCCTGCCCTGTCCAGGCCCAACCTGCCTATTAGTGTCCAACTCTTACATGGTAATGAAATGATTTTGTTTGTATTTTTCTCCCATGCTATACTTTAGGGCTTGTGGCTACCTCTCCTTTTCCCCAGCACTTAATGCAGGTGTACGGCATATAGTTGGTGCTAGGTATAACAATTAAGGAATATTTACGGAAAGCCACACACACTTAGCATTATTCAGGTAGCTCTCCTCTTAAGTTTGTGCTAGTGGCTAAAACTTACAGTGGAAACAGAGCATGCCTACATTTTACTTATGTTCAGCTCTCCATGCTTGGTAAATAATAATAATAAATTTTAACAGCAACAATAATAAGTAAAAGAAGTAGTTTTAAGTAGGGAAGGGATTCAGCTCACCACTCTCACCAGTGAGCACGTACACACCTTGCAGTGTGTTTGCAATGCAAGTGTGTGGGAAATAAAAGTCCCCTTTTGTATTTCCCTTTTTTAAAAGCTTGAGTATCTCAACCCACCAGGGATGACTTTGGTCTTCAGAGATACGGGTTTTTCATTGACCCTGTGCCCAGCACACATGTGAACTACTTCATCGGGTCCTGAACTAAAAATTCAAAATAAAAAAAAAAAAAAACACAAAATCGATCTGTTCCAACACTTAAGTCAAAACTGGCCCTGTAGGACTCAGAGAGGGAGAGGGAAGGAGAATATGTTTGCATAAGAATATTTTGCTGGTGTTATAAGGGATCTTCAAGGGTGATTTGTGGTAGATGTTTTCCCCTCGTGCACTGGCTTCATGCGGTGTGAGATGTGGTCCGTCACATCACGTGTCTTCCTGTATTGGGGATGCT